TTTTATAAAGGAATACCTGCATCCTAAGAAAATAAGCAAATTATTAAAATTCCACAAGGAACATGTGCTTTCCTTCAGGTTAACCAGCCAATATTTGGGGAGGGTCCACTGAAAGGGAGGTGCTCTGCTTTGCTGTCTTGAGCCCAGTAGAGGCTGCTGGCTGACTTTTACTATTCGCGACACCAGTGCCTCTCAAACTTTAATAATGTAGTCTACTCTTTCAAAGTACACAAGCAAGTTCATGACCTCTAGGGTTGTTATTTTATGATAGTGTTAATTTAAATGTAAAAACAGACGGCACAAAACTCCTAAAAATCTTAAACCATTGCTAAAAAGAAAGTTTTACAAATTAAGCGTAAACAAAACTACAAAATGAGCTTTCTTCAAATACCTGACTCCAATTTAATAGAATGGATAGAACTGACTAAAGCTAAGTAAGATATCGGGTTAATAGTAAAAAGGTCTAACCTCAGATTTCTATAATTTAGTATGCTTCTGAATTTGACTTCGATGAAAATAACATAACGAAATCTTTTCTGTGTAGGTTGTACAAACCATTATTAATCCTGTAAGGTTTTGTTTTTCACTTCAGAGTAATAAACCTTAAAGATATCAGGGAAATTCGTTAATGTCCGTTTTAATGGCATGCCATTTGATAATCATTTAAAGCTCTCTCTGTTTACTCGGAGATGAAATTGGCATTGCGGCAAAGGTTTGTACATCTGTAATCCAGTAAAAGTGAAATTTGGGAACTGAGAAGTTTCACCGCAGATTTTCTATTACACTCACTGCTAATGGTCGATGCGAGTTGAACCATGCAAACATAGCATCTGAGCCTTATGTTCATTTGCTCCTTGAATGTGGCTGCTGACTGCTCTTCTTTTATCATGTGTGCTGTCGTGCCATGTATAGCGATCAGATTTTCTGATCATTCTCTGACCCACAGCAAAACGTTTTGCAGATCATGCATCTATGTGTCATCTCTACTTCATTTGTTATGCACTGAATTATAAGCACAAAGGCTTATACCAAAATTACATGGTCGTACTCTTTGAAGGGTAGCCATCTAGATGCTTATATTTTTGTTAGGTTATTATTGAAATGTAAGCATAGAATTAAGAAAAAAAAAATCTTGTGGCAAACTCCTGGACGGCTGTGAATATGCCTCCGGACTCTGGGGAAGTACTTCTTTAGGATACAATGTGGCTTTGTGAATGCACATTCCTCTTGCCTCTCATGTCCACCCTGCTGGGGGCCAAGAAAGTATTCTGTTTTTCTAACATTCAGATACGAAAAATGTACAGAACTGTGTCAAGAGGAATTTTAAAGGACATTTTTCTTTCTTGGCTTGAGATGCCACACCAGGGTTGTAACAGGGGCAAGTTTTAATGACATCCATCTGTTGCAGATGAAAATAAGTGGGGCTCAGCATTTGAATTCCTTGTCCAGAATCAGACTTTATAGGCATAAGTAAAATTGGTTTTAGGATTTGGGAGTCCTAGGGACATAAAGCAGCAGAGCAGAAAGAGGTTAGTTTTACATTTGTTGGAAACTTTCCCCCAAGGAGCTGCTATTGCCTCATTTTCTCTTTATTGAGCTGTTATGTGTGAAATCTTCTGGTTGAACCAGGAGACAACAATCTATTTTGAAAGCATACTTCCCCCGTACTTACGCTTAATTTGGAAATAATTACTTTTGTCATACTCAGAGGGAAACACGGTATGGTAAAAGTTGCTGCATCTCTCACGGTGCATGAGTCCCTGAATCCTCTTTCATCTCTGTGTTGATTGAAGGTAACCAGACTGACTACTGTTTATCTTAAGCTCTTGTGTCAAGTGCTTTAATCACAGATTGACCTCATTGTAACGGATGGTATGCCTGTGTCTATGTGGAAGTGGGAAAAGAATATATATTTCCATGCAGGTCTATACTTTTCACCTAAAATGATGTCAATATCTATACATAAAATTTGAAATCTCATTTTAATTTTGTTCTTGAAACCCATGTTCTGGAACTGTTTTCTAATAACATTTTCATTTATTTATTCATTTTATTTATTTCATTTATTTGCATTTATTTGCATTTTCTCACTTCAGGAGAACCAGATTTTTTAACAGGTTCTAAAAGAATCCAACTTATAGCAAAGGCTACCATGACTCACTGTTGGAGAGGTCCCTGGTTGGATGGCTCAGATGTTGCCTTTCCATTGGGTCTAGACCCTCCAGAACACTGGGAAGATATTTTGCTAAAATTCCAGGGTTTGGATGCAAGTCTTCAACTTACACCTACATTTTAGAAGTTTGCTTCAGAAAAGAGAAAACCAGTTATGAAAACCAGTTATGTAACAGCAAAAGCAGTCTTTCATGTCATGCCCAGTCCCTAAAGAAGGTTCTAAGAAGGTCTGTTGGGCACTCCTCAGTGACGCCTCCAGCTCCCTTCAGACCAACATCTTCCTTTAAGCTCCTGCAGTCATGTCTGCATGTGTTTCTTCAACCCTTCTGGATCAGGTGCTCCCTCTAGCTCTACTTATTCTACTTTGAATGATAGGGCACCCTGATCTTAGTTCCTGAGCTTAATCAGATTAGGCATGTAGACAGAGATAGTCAACTGGCTTTTTAATGCAATGTGTGCTTTACCACCTCTTTTCCTCATTCTCAAATGATTATGTTTTTAAGGAGTTTTTCTCAAGCCACCTCATACTTTTTCTAGATGTATAGATGGTTGAGAGATGTGGGGACAGGGAAGTCAGCCAGGAATTCTCAATCCAGCTGAGTATTTAGCAAGTGCCATGATTTACATACACAAATATGTAGACCAAGGGCATAACAGTGATTCTCACAACTGAAACAAACCTATAGCTCCTAGGCTAGGTATCTGTAGTAACATCTGCTTTGATGCTTTGGGGAGGTGAGATAGAGCCTCAGTTAAGACTAGCTCTAGGCTGGTAAACATAAGTTAAATCTTGGATCTTCCACTGAATAATTGTGTGGCCTTGGAAACCTTCGAAACCTCTTTCCTCACTTATTAAATGAGCATCATAATAATAGTTTCTCTCTCATAGTATTATTGTGAAGATTAAGGATATAATACATCTGGCTGACTCCCCTAGCTGTGTGCCTGACCCCCAGTGAATGATAAATGTTAACTGTAATTATTAAGTCTCATGTACAATATTGCAGTAGTTTCTAGGCATAATCTTTAATATAATATATAACATAGAGCACAAAGATTTGTTTTTTAAAACTATGTACGTCAAATAATGTCATACTTTCTATCTGTGCCCGAATATTATTTAATTTTAGTTGTTTTACAGTAAATGTTTCCTGTGAGGTATTGACAATATAATGCCTAGCATTATCTTTCTCTTTTAAGTGCTGTGGCAAGAAACCGGAGGTAGAAAATCTTCCTGGAGTTTAGAATTTGCCACAAACCACAAAATAATTTCATAGAGTAGGCATTTTAAAATGAGTCACAACTCAGTCACTGCAGCATTGCAGATATACTTAGGGCACCCGGCCATGGGCACGGCTCTCAGGAGGGACGAAGAGTGAGGCATGGAGGCCGTGCAGGGAGGGAAGAATGGTCGGATAGCAGCCAGACCGTGATCCACTTCTACAGCATCAGGGCATGAATTCCAGCTGTACAGATTTCAGTCATACCTTTCCACTCTTCATACATTATCTGTCTGATTTGTAAATATATGTCGTTATGGTATTTGGGTTAAATGTGAGGTAATTTGGTCCTACAGCTTTCCGTCTTCTCATGTGTAAATCATTTTAACAATATGCAAATAATTCCCAATTTGAGGCTCCCAGAGAAAATACTTCCATTTCTATCCTTGTACATCATCACCAGTCATAATAAATAGGTCTGCGAGAGTGTGCCAAGAGCCCCTGCCAAACACATTATTCAAGGGGGAGAGGCAGGGGAGCCTACCAGGGAGAAGGGCTGGATTATGAGCTGTCACAACTGTGTCTCACTTCCTAGTAGGTCAGTGACATCCCATTTCATGTTACCACGTTCTCTTTAGTCAGATACTATACCACAAGAAGGATTATAAAGTTACATCAGTGTCTTGGAACCTACAAAGTTTATCATCATTTTTGGGTTAAGATTAGAAAGTTAGGCTTTGCAGGCAAGCTAGAGCGGCCGGGGGACTGTAGCTTCACCTCTGGAGCAGCTCTCCTCTGGACGTTCTGTGGGGAAAATTCAGCTGTTTCTTCCAGGATCAGATGTTGAGAGGCTCTGGGGGGAAGAAGAGGAGTTAAAAAGCAGCCTCCATTATGAGTGCTTGTCTTTACCAAGGGATTTTAGTCTTGGTATTGTGTCAGCTGGGTTAAATTTAATCTTGTTTTTCCAAAATCACTGGGATCACAAAATTTGCATTGGCCCAGTCCATACCTGCCAACTAGTGCTCTCCTCTTTCCTCAAAGCATCCTCGGAGCTTTCTGTTTTTCCCTTGTAATGAGGACAGATGACTGCCAAGTGACCCATACTCAGCATTCTCCCTCAGACTTATCTGAGAAACCAAACAGTAAAAGATAAAGGAAAAAAAAAAAAAAAGAAGCCCAGTCCTTTTAATTTCTTTTATGTTTTGGATTCCTTTTTGGCTTGACATTAGGCTCACTATAAGGTCACAAGCATCTTGAAGCGAAAATGAATGGGTAGCAGTGGATTTGGGAGTAGTGTAAATTCATCTTCAAATGTGGCTAAAGATTGAGAATAAAGCAGGAACAATTTTTATTTTAAGAGTTCTTTTACACTCTTTAATATAGCAGAACATATTTCCCGTTGACTTTAAACAACTCTCTAGAAATACTATGAAGTTGCTACCTTATCCTCTGAATTGTTCTTCAGTGTTTTAAACTCAATATTGGAGTCTTTGGCAACCAAAGCTTTTCTTACTTGCAGTGTAAACATTTCTGTCTTTCTGTCTTTGATATGTTTTTATTTAACAATAATTCACTGGAGGTCTTTTTTCATTTTTTTTTCCCTCACAGTCTGACAGCAATGCGAGCTTTCTCCGTGCTGCCAGAGCAGGCAACCTGGACAAAGTAGTGGAATATCTGAAGGGGGGCATAGACATCAATACCTGCAATCAGGTAAGGGCATGGCTCTGTGCACAATGAAGAAACACTCATTGTCTATAGATATATGCCAGTAGCCCCAGGTTATTTTTTGTCTATTGAATTTACTAAAATATCAGTGATTCAGACTTATGAAAGTCCATTTTCCTCCCCTTACCGACTTTTGAAGCCTCAGGCATTTGTATCTAGACCTACTATTGCAGCAAAGTAGATAGATCAAAAATAACAACCAAATGTCAGTTTTGTCTGGGAAATGATCTGGGCTGCTCTTAGTGGAAATATTGACCGAGAATAATGCTTTATTTCTCATTTATCATAAACTAGTTATCCAGACCCTGGTTTCTTTTCTTCTCTGCCTTTTGCGTTTTACTAATGGACAACTGATTGTTAAAATTTGGGATAAAGAAATAAGAGAAAAGGGACGCCTGGGTGGCTCAGTCGGTGAAGCATCTGACTCTTGATTTCAGCTCAGGTCATGATCTTTGGGGTTGTGAGATGGAGCCCCTCATCAGGCTCCACCCTCAGCATGGTGCCTGCTTCAGGAATCCTCTGCCTCTCCCTCTGCCCCCCCTTCCCTGTCCCGCTCACATGCATTTGCTCTGTCTCTCTCTCTCAAAAAAAGAAATGACAGAATAAAATAAAAATTATTTCCCCCCTTCTCCCTAATTAGTTTTAAAAAATGGATTGGAATGAGAAGAGTTTGAAACTGTTAGCTTAAATGAAGTGTTTGGATTATTCATTCATCATATTCATTCAATAAGGACTCTATACATCTTGGATATTATTTGGTTTCATGGATGTTGAAATTTTGTGTTATTTTTGACTAAGATTTTTATGCCATGAATAAAGTGTCTAGTAGACTTCAGTGTTCACTACAGTGTGCTAAATGTTGGTGGTGCATGTGTGTGTGCGTGTACGTGTGTGTGTGTGTGTATGCAGGTTTGACAGAGCTGACTGGGACCTGAAAAGTCCTGGCTAATTTTAACTTAACAGAAAGTAAATCATACTCAGTTCTTATCTGCTTCATAGACTAACCTAACTTCTTGAGTTACTTCAAAAAGTTTTTAGCGCCTAACATATTTTTTCTTATAGTGGCCAACTGTCTACTAACATGTTGCTATAAAAGGGAAAAACATTTATTTTTGTAAAAAGGTTACACAATGTCATGAAACCACACAAAACTTAAAGCCCAGACTGAAATTTAAATTCCATCTCCACTTTTATCAAGTCATTTCAATTCAGAAAGTGACACTTTTCTAATCTCTAAAACAAGTATATTCAATCTTATGTCACTGGGTTGCAAAGTAAATTATGAAATTTTGGAAAGGAATAAGGTGTACATTTTCTAATTGTAATTACTATATAGAATTTGCCAAGAATCAGAAAAATTAAAATTGACCTCCACACAGCATATGAGATCGAGTCTCCTCAATCACCTGAATTTACTAGGTATAAAGTGTTGTTGTCTGGTGTTGGTCTTTATTATTATTCAAGAATGTACAGTAAATAGAGAATAGAGAAATAAAGTAACTAATGTTAACTAGCCACTGGGTATCAGGCTTTCTGCTGGGGGCTTTACATGTGATGCTTCATCAATCAGCAGAGACAAATGTTATAAAGTAGGCATTCGTTGGAATTTACAAATGCAGAAACAGAGCCCGCAAGTGGTTAAGTGATGTTCTCAGGGTCACACAGATCTGTCTGTCTCCCATGTACAAGTGTTTTCTACTGCAGGAATGTTCCTGAGATATTGGGATCCTCCCTTCAGAGTGTACAGTGTGGTTTCCTTTATCTTGAAGCTCAAATCTTTTTTTAATCTACCATTGTTAATGTAAAAAGAACTTGATTCATCCTTAAATTAACATAATAGTAGTTAAAATAACTTTTATTATTTATTTTTTTGAAGATTTGTTTATTTACTTATTTGAGAGAGAGAGAGAGAAAAAAAAACACAAGTCGGGGGAGGGGCAGAGGGAGAGAATCCTCAAGCAGACTCCCTGCTGAACAAGGAGCCCGATGCTGGGCTTGATCTCATGATCCATGAAATCATGACCTGAGCTGAAACCAAGAGCCAGCCACCAAACAACTGAGCCACCCGGGTGCCCCATAGTTAAGAGAACTTTTAAGTCAAAGAGCACCACTACCAGGATTATGACTAAAACCCAAATAAAATATAGAACAGAAAATAATGTCCAAACACCTAGGAAGGCAAAAGGGGCAACTCTTTAGCCAAAATACTGCTATATCTAAATATGTAAAAGTTCAAAGCTAATAAGGCATATGAAGGAAGAGAAGAAAAAGTGTCCATTATTTTGCTAGTAAGCTTGGGTTTCTGGGGAGCATCATGACATGTAACATAGAAACCAGGACTTTCTGTACCCTGCTATATTTCTCAATGAAAGGCAATCTGGGCTGCACCAACTTTCCAAAAATATGACATGTGTTGGCGTTCTAAGATTCCTTAAACTAAAATTTGGATGAAAATTTTTTTCTTTATAAAATTTTTCTCATAACTACCATGAGAATTTTGAAACTTAATCCAAAAATACAATTTGGCTTTTAATCATTTAAAGGATATGAGAAAAATTCATAATTTTGGCACAAAACAGTTTTCTTAAAAAAAACAAATTCAAATCTTCATTTTTCTTTTCCAAATGGTTACAGAGCTCTTAACTTCTGTTTTCTTTAAAAGATTAAACTAGAAATTTATTTTATTATCTCTTGTACACTCAGAAAAGAGAATAAATCTTAGCACTTGCTCCCTATCTAAAACTCATGTATACTTAATGCTTTTCTTATTTTAGTAACTGTTCCCAGTCTAATAATGTTATAAACAAGGTTAACATTCAGACATTAAAAATAGACTCTATAACTTTTTCATAAAAAATTTATAGCCAGTTAAAATCAATAAAAGGCTTAGAAGATTCAGGTACTTTTACCATGTATAAAATTTATTGGTTTCACTGCAGTGACTTCAAAATAAAGTAGATTACTTATCATTTATTGGCCATACTCCTAGATATAACACTGAAAGTTAACAGTTTTTTAACATGTCCTGATTTTTGGTCTTGACCCTTTACTGCTGAGGTGTAGAAGTCCAAAATTATCAGTTCGATCCTGTGCTTCCTCTCTCAGAAACAGAAGGCAAGGTCAAAGCACCATTTTCAAAATAATGTTAATGTTCCTAAAATATCAGCCTTTACCAACAAGAAGGTACACCCAACAATGACTTTGTCATATGTTCACATAGTTATGACTCAGACCACAAAGCATTTTTGGAAATCACTTTAAGAATGTGGGTGCTGAAAAAAAAAAAAAAAAGAATGTGGGTGCTGGAATCCAAATTCTCATTTTATCCACTTACCAGCTATGTGACTCTGGGCATTCAGTTTTTCCAAGACTTAGTTTTCTCCACTGTAAAATAGTGATCTTAACAATACTGGAGTCATAGAATTGTTATGATCATTAAATGAGATATTTGCAAAATGCTTAGGAAACTGCACATTCAATAAATAGTAGCAAATGATAATCCCTATTATAATAATAGGTGGTGCTGGTTCTCATAGGCAGAACATATCATAAAAAAGGTATTCTCATAGCTTGTGTCATCAAATAGGAAAGGTCACATTTAGTAGGAATTTGGTAACAGTTTCTTTTTGTCGTGGTTAAATTAAGCTAATTTTTTTTTCCTGGTACTAAAATCTTTTTTACCAATGCCATTTGGATCCATCCAGTCTGGACCCCTCTTTAAAAATACCAAAACCAATTATATTAGCCTGGGAATTTATAAAGGAAATGAAGATGAATATTTGAGAATTAAACTCCTAGAATTAATGGTCTAGGGAATGAACTATATCCAGTTTCCTAACCAGTTAAATGGGGCACAAATATATCTGCAAATAATCTTGTCACATATTTATCATTTGACTTCTCATTTAGAAGAAGCAAATGGTGGTGTATCTGTCTGGTTCTGGTTATATGTGCCCTTTTGTTTTTGGATTCTGTATTATTCTCTAATTCTCTTCGGTGCATTAATACTGGTCCTTGCTCTATACTGAGTAGTGCCGATTCAGACTGGATTTGAATAATGTCTGCCTAGTATTTTGAGCACTTAGCATTTTTAGTTTCTTTTTTTTTAAGATTTTATTTATTTATTTTTTAGGGAGAGATTGAGAGTGGGGGATGGGGGGAGAGAATGAGAATCTCAAGCAAACTCTGAGCTGAGAGAGGAACCCAATGCGGGGCTCGATCCCATGACCCTGAGATCATAACCCGAGTCGAAACCAAGAGTCAGACGCTCAACTGACTAGCCACCCAAGCACCCCAGAATTTTCAGTTTCAATGTTGATAGTTGTTCAATGCAAAGTAATTCCAGTAAAGACTTTTCATCAGCTACTTGTCCATAACTCTCAAAAGTTTTGTCTCACAGATTTATGAAGAGGTTTGAAGTGCAACTCTTATTTCATTTAAAAAATGCCAGGGTTAGCTTCTTGCAAAGTATTTCTGTGACTGTCTTCTTAAATACTCTGCTGCAGTGGTTTAGATGAAAACAGAACAATTTCTGCCCTGGGAATTCTCTTGAATGCTCTTTTCAATGACTAAAAGACATGGATTTTTTTTTTTTTAAGATTTTATTTATTTATTTGACAGAGAGAGAGAGAGAGAGAAGCAGCAGAGGGAGAGGGAGAAGCAGACTCCCTGCTGAACAGGGAGCCCAATGCGGGACTCGATCCCAGGATTCTGGGATCATAACCTGAGCAGGCAGACACTTAACTGACTGAGCCACCCAGGCGCCCCAAAGACATGGATTTTAGTACATAACTCCAGGAGCCCCTCCACTCTCCCTAATTCATCTCAGATATTATAATCACATTATAAATCACATTCTTTCTGCCAATCTGAACTCAGGCTCACCATTTGTTCATCTATTTATTCAAACATGTAATGTGTGTTTACTGTATGAAAGCAGAGACAAAACCCCCCTCTGGTATAGCTTAGAATCTACAGCATGAAAA